TCCCCCTAATCATATGCAGAAAAAGTCATTTTCTTCGGTATGAAAGTTTTCATAGAAATTACCAACAGTCTCTGTCTTAGTCCTTGAAGCTCAGGATGGTCAAAAGCTGGCTGCTGATGAAATAAAACACAGTCAATCAAATCCCCATCTGGGCTCTGCAACAAAATAACAAAATTCAAGTCACTTACGGAACCATTAATATCAAAGCTTCTTACAGAGCAGAAGAAAATGCCTCAATTGTCTTCAAAGAAGGCTTGTTGATCTTGCTTAAAAGAGCTCTGACTCTGAGAGTTTGGTTGAAGGGTAGGGGGTGAGACAAGACTGGGCTAATTGGAGAAACAAGAAAGAGGAAAGCAACAAAAAGGACAGGTAGAATAGGTGGAGTATTTTGGGAAGTAAGAGCAGCCAATCTCAGAGAATGATTCTGTGCTCTTGTTTGTCCTGTGACAACGTGTTGGTATTGTCTTCTTGTTTCAGCAGAAAATGACTCATTCTCGTGAATTGTACAGGAAGCTGAGTTTTTCTTCATGCCTATCCAAAACAAAAGGAAGAACGACCGCGGAGAACCCAAGCTTGACAAAAAATCTTCTAACTGGTTCAAAAAGTGAGAGAGAAATTCTAGTGGTGAAGGTTTTGTGCGTCCATGCGCTGAAAATTCAGGCACCAGAAGTCTGTTGACCCACACTTGGTGGGACTATACTCTTTTTTTTTTTTTTTTTAATTTCTTTCTTTTTCTCCTTCTCTTGCCCCTTGAAATTTAAGAAAAGATAGGTAGAGATCATTTAAATCTAATTTCACTTTTCATTTTTTTTTAACTGAGATGCTAATGCTATTGAATAGGCATGTTTATGAAAAATACCAAACATGCTCAGCATAACAGTACCGGAGGGGAAAAAAGAGTATTATATTCGAGAGAATGGTGTAGAAAAAATAGATGAGTGAATTTGATAATGGAGGAAAGACTTTTGTATGAAAAACGTATAAAAAAATGTAGATAAATTGAGCTACAAATAATTAAAAATAATTAACAAACGTTTGAGTAATTTCATTATTACTTCGAGAATATTTGCATAAATATGGTTGCATTAATCACAGTTTACTCATACGTGTGGTCCTTGTATGTATCGGTAATACCCATACGTGGGATTATGTTGGCAATATTTTCTTTTGATTGATGATTTTTTTAAGAGAGAATTACTTATTAACTTTTAAAGGAAAAAATATAATTATCAAAAAATTTCATTGACAAATGAGTAACAAAAACCTCAATTTTTATCTTAAACTTGTCAATAAATGATTTTCTTGTTCTTTTTGTCTTAAGACTTTATACTATTTTCTTGAATATCATGACCAGCAATTCGGCCAACTGAAAAAAGAGACCAACATAAGAGGAGAGTTTGGAAATCCCCTTAAAAACATTTAATTTTTTTTACATAAATCTAGATAAAATTAATTTAAATACTATGAAATCACCTCTAAAAAGTTAATCTAAACAGTTTAAAAAAAATTCATCAAACAAGTTCATGCAAATCACATCTAATTTGATTGACGTCAAGAGGATCGGTGCATGATGTCAATGGTCAAATCCAGTCAACCGCCTCTGTTCTCCCGACTCCGACAATGGATCTATGCGTCCATATGTGCATTTATTACGGCCTTAACCACGAATCTCTTCAAAAATGTAACAAATTCAATTCTATATTAAGGGCTGAAACACTACTTTCGATGTTTAATATAAAAATTTATTTGAATTTTATTTTGATTTTAAATATAAGAATCTAATATATTTTATTTTTTATATTTATATTTTTTTTTAAAATGATTTTTGTAATAATAATAATTCTAACCAATACACTTGATTAGTAAAGATATTTTAGAAAAGGTAATACGTATTTATTACAAATAACTGACTTAAATAATTTGTTTAATCTACTCAAATAAGTCAATTAGCTTTTATATTAATGATCGTGAGTAGTGATCTTACTGATCGTATCATTATTATTTTTAATGTGCGCGGCAGTGTAAAATATATTTACTTTATTTTCAGTTACCATGAGATAAAATTTTGGAGGGTACAGTGTTCATACTACACACACAAAAGGTAATTTACAACATTTCAGTAGTAATGAATAATTTTTTCATAAAATAATCATAATTATCAATGAGTAAGAAATGAAAGAGACTTGACCGGCTTGCAACAACCAAATCAGTGTTACATTATAAATAATACAATTACTCTCTCTCTCTCTCTCTCTCTCTGTGAATTGTGTTATCAAAAAGTTGTAAATTTCTTTTCAAAAGTACATGATTGTCATATAATTGAGGAAGGCAAATAACCAATGATTTAGAGAAAAGCCTAGGGCAGGGCAGCATGCATGTTGCGATTAAACGTTTAAAACCAAGTAATTAGAAAACAAATGATTCTGTGAATAGTGTCGGCCTTGCATTGCAGCTGTGAATCACTTTTGCTTGTGAGGTTGAGGCGCAGAATGGGCCCTCAGCCCTAACGCCGTTCCTTATCTTTAAAGGATGTCGCGCTCCCCTCCAATGCTGCCGCTTGCTTCCCACTCACACTTTGTCCCTTCCCTTCACGCCTCTTTTTCTAAATTTACGTTTTATTAAAAAAACTAGGACCTTTTATTTGTAATTTTTTAATAATGTTCTCTGTGTTTAATACTACTTTCAATCATTAATATAAGAGTGAGTTGACTAATTTAAATAAATTAAGAAAATTTGTTAAGTTAGTTATTTGTTATGAATAAATATTATCTTTCCTAAAATACCCTTACTAATCATGTATATAAACTATATCTACTACTAGTTTGACTTTTATTTTGATCCTAAATATAGGACCTCAATCCATTTTATTTCTGATAATTTATGCATTTTTTCTAATATAGTCCTTCTAACAATAGTAGCTCTAGTCAATACATTTGATTGGTAAGGATATTTTAGGAAAGACAACACATATTTATTACAAATAACTAACTTAACTTCTTTCCTTAATCTCCTCAAATTAATCAACTAGCTCTTATAATTAGAATCAGAGGTAGTATTTGATGGAATATTTAACATGTGTAATTACTACAAGAACTACTTTAAAAAAATAAATAAATATAAAAAACAAAATAAATTATAGTGTTATATTTAGAATCAAATTGAATACCAAATTAGCTCATTTGTAATTAAATTTATTTAATAATTATTGTCATAGTCTAAAAAAATATCGGTCAACAGTCAACAGACAGAGGTGCGAGTAAGCTAAAAGGGGAGTGAGAGAGAAGAGATTCCTTCGCCTTGTGAAGAAGATACACTGAAGTAGCGATGCATGTGGGTGAGCCCTTTGAGCTACTTGAGCTGACAAGGGTGAGGCTGGTAATACTTCTCCGGTCTTTAATATAAGACCCATTTAACTAATTTGATTAGATTAAGAAAATTAGATAAGTTAGTTAATTATAAGAAATATGACATGTTTTTCCTAAAATACCATAATCATCTTTCTTAATACTCCATCTCCCTCTTCTACTTGATTATGGTTGAGAGAGTATCCATAGGGGTAATTTAGAAAAACTTGATAAATATAATAAATGGATCTTATATTTAGGATCAAAACCAATTCAACAATTGGGTCCTATATTAAGGACCGGAGGAGTACTAAATATGAAATCAAGTTATATATTATCCGTCTATAAAAGAAAATTATTTTATCCTATTTTAATTTTATTTCAGTTCTGTCTCGGTTGAATATAGTATTTAAAATCTGTAAAAAATGTTGAAGATGATCATTTTCCTAATGTTGATATAAACTGGAACTTAAAGCCGGACAACTTCCAAGTCCTTATCGAGGGTAAAGTTCCGAGTGAAATGCACACAATCATAAGAGTGTGCGTGATGAAACAAAGCATAGAGTAATATATATATATATACAAGTTCTGAATGAATTCGTCGTTTTCTAGTATAGTGATTTATAACAGCATAGATTGTGAAAGAGACTGATATGAGAGATATTATTCGAACGAAGTAAATTTTATCGAGGTTGCTCATTGTTCGTTGATCATTATACTCACAGCAAGGCCGTGTTGTTTTCCTCAAACAAACATCCAGCTGCTTTGACTGTGTAGTAGTTGCACCGCATGGATATGCTTCATGTTGAAGCCAAATTAAAGAACATAAAGTGAATTATTACTTTCTAAATAGGAATTAATTGATTAATTTGAGTAGATTAATACAGTTTGTTAAATTAGTTATTTATAATAAATACGTGTTGTCTTCCCTATAATAATACTCTTACTAATTATGTGTATTAGCTAAAATTACTATATGATGAAATCTTTAACATATGCAACTGCTACAAAGATTACTTTGAAAAAAATGAATAAACATAAAAGACAAAGACAAAGTGAATTTAAGTATTATATTTAAGATTAAATTAAAAGTCAAACTAACTCTTATATTAAATACCGGAGGTAGTATTAAGCAACCAACGCTAATGTTGTCATATCAGTGTGTCGCAAAACATGAACACGCTTTTATAATTCTATAATGTTTATTTGTAGCCGTGAACGACAATCCAAATTACGGATCTGCAAATCTAGTCGCACCATTGGCTTTCGTCCAAACAGGGAATCCATCAAAATCAACATCTGAATAAAGTGATGTTCCCACATGCTGCCTCGGGATTACGTGAAGAGAATTGTAGCTGATGATCATGATGATGTTGAAGAATCTGATGAATTATTACGATTATATTCTATCTGTTCGCCATGTTTCTTCCTCATCCATTAGAAATCTTAGGCCATGTCCCTTGTGTTTTTCACGCCAACCTCCCAAAATTTACGGTGGATTCCGCCTTAAGCAAAGCATCTTCTTTATACTTTCTCGAACCAAGCAAGCACAAGAAAAGTTGCCACCTAAAACATTCTTCGGATAAGGCGTCCGCCAAAGGCATTGCATGGATCGTCAATTTCCTTTGAGATAGGCCACTTCTCGCAGCTTCTCAATATTAGTTTTAATCGTAGTATATATTTCAATAAAAAGGAATCAAATATTGATTAATCATCTTAACTTTTTGCCTAATTAAATTTTCTTACATTATTATTTTGATCTTTCATTCTTTTGAACCCCTAACAGAAAATTCATACCTTCCCTGAGAAGTTGATTGAAGCCTGCGAGCGAAAAATTTGCTGAGAACGTAACGTAACATTCCTTGTACAATATGTCATCGACGATGAGAGATCACGGGATCTTTAGCCGGATGGCGAGCCTTCCTCGTAGCATTATGGAAGAATTTTCAAGGGCCATGAGTGATATAGGATCAGGAAGAAGAAGAAGACGACGATCAAGAAACCAAAATGAACTCTCTCCTTCGTCATCTTCAGATTTCCAGTTCCGGCCATTTCAGCCGCCGTTGGATCCACCGGCAGTTCGGGAGGACCAGTGGGCCTTTCTGGAGAGTTTTGAGCTTCAATATGGCACCGTACATCCTTTCTTCTACGCCTGCCGTTTAATGGAAGTTCTGAAACTAGCAGCGCAAGACAAGAAGTTGGTGTTCATGTACATCCATTCGCCAGAACACCCTTTCACGCATAATTTCTGTAGGGAAACACTCTGTAGTGAGCTCGTCACGGAGTTTCTTGACGTGAACTTTATTTGCTGGGGAGGTCTTGCCGATCGAGGCGAAGGTCTTCGTATGGTGACCACTCTCCGCCCTGCTAGCTTTCCCCTTTGCGTCGTCGTCGCCCCTGCTTCCGGTGATACCATGACGGTTCTGCAACAGGTTTATTTCACATAGCTTTTAACTAATCTAAATTTATGCAAGGCTCAATAATGAGGTTTTAAATATGTATATGGGCTAACTTGTGCTTGTTTGATTTCAGATAGAAGGACCAGTTTCGACGGCGGAGCTAGTGGAGGTTTTACAGAGAACAATGGAGGAGCAAGGATTGGCTTTTGGAAGTGACAGGGCTCGGCGGGAAGAAATGATCAGAGCTGATCGTCGGCTGAGAGAAGAACAAGATGCTGCATATCTTGCATCTTTGCGAATTGACCAGGAAAAAGAAAACATCAGGAATTCAACTTCCACAGAAAGAGTTCAGAAACCAGCAGAAGCTTTGAACACCAGAAATTATGAGAAGCCTAAGAACAAATCTAAAGTGAATGGACCTACAACCGCTACGCAAAATCAAAACAAAGGAGTTCCAAATCGGGCAGGCCAGTCTCAACCCACTCAGGTACGTTTAATTAATTGTCTAGTCCCGACATTCTTACAAAAGATATTAAACACAGCGTATCATTTCAGCAGACAAGAATGCACTCTGAATTCTTCTGCTTTAGGTCATAATTTTGTCTCCAAAAATGGGTGGGTCGATTTATTTATTTGAGCGATGTTGCAGATATTGATAAGGTTTCCAAATGGAGAAAGAGGAGAGCAGAGATTTGAGAGTACGGACAAAATCCAGGCAATTTTCGCATTCATTGATTCACTGGGATTGCCTGGGATTGGGAATTACAGATTGGTGTCAAACTTCCCAAGAAAAGTGTATGGCGTGGATCAGATGAGAATGACACTCAAAGATGCTGGCCTCCATCCCAAAGCTAGCCTTTTCCTCGAGCCCATATCCACTGACCCATAGGCCTTGGGTCAATCTTGTGGGCTACCCACTGTGTTCTTCAAACATATGGCCTTTTCTTTTCGCCCCCAAGAATTCTCCGTTCTGGGTTGTGTCTTCTTATTGGTTGTGAGCTTAAGGACTTCATTCAGACTATAACATAGCGCCCGTCCCATTTATTATATGAATAAACGTGGGGTACTGGTTAGGAGTTCAGAAGTTAAGGATGGACACAATGAAGGTGAAATTAATAAAACTGCTGACTAATGGAGTTCGAGTAGGATAACATTAATAACTATGTAATGGAAGTGCGGGTATTTGAGCTTTTAGCCTGCAATACCTATATATATATAATCATTTAATTTTATATAATGTTTTAATTTGATATTTTAACTTTGTAAAGTATATTTTTTTTAGTTTTTTTGACTCTAAAACTATTATTGACATCTTAAAGGTTTAAGGAAAAATATTTTTTTTTAAAGGAATCAAACCGAAATTTTTTATAAAATTCAAAGATAAAATATATATTTTTACTTATATATGTGTTATACCATTTCTGGTTTTTAATATAAGACCTAGTTGACTAATTTGAAGAGATTAAAAAAATTAGTTAACTTACTTATTTATTATACATATGTGTTGTCTTTTCTAAAACACTCTTACTAATCATATATATTAACTAGAATTATTATTTGATGAAACTTTTAAAAAAATATAACTACTATAATAACTATTTTGAAAAAAAATGAATAAATATAAAAGACAAAATCGATTGGAGTCTTATATTTAGGATTAAATTAAAATTCAAATAAGCTTTTATAATAAGAAACAGATGTAGTATATTACCTACATAAGGAAGTTTTGCAACATCTTCATTTTATACAAAATAACTAACTAATTAGAAGCAAATGGAATCATATTTGATGACCTAAAGTTTGAAAAAGTTAACTTTGAGCAATTTTGTTCTTGGGTTACTATTTATAGCAACCCACATTTTGACCAAATTTTAAAAAATCATAATTAATTTAAAAAAAATTAAAGTTGAGTGATTCCAGGTTCTATTGGAGACTCTTTAGATTATCTTTTGAGAAAAAATAATTTCTGAATGAATTGTCTTCAAATTCGAGCCCAAATTAAATTTTCAAAAAATACTATTTATTTGGTCATTTTTTAATTTTTTAGTATTTTTGTCTAAATTTGAATAGGCATAACTTCTTATGCAATTATCCATTTGAGGCATGTTACCACTCATTTTAAAAATAAAAATGAGATCTATTTGCATCTAAAATTTTGTGCCCTAACGCACTCAATTGGTCAAAATAACATTGATCAAAGTTTGACCCCAAAATGTTGACTTTTATCTCCTAATTGCCTTGCTTCTTCATACTTAAGCTCTAACTTAACATGCCATTCATTTAACCACATAATTGGATATAATAGTATATTTTGGCATATGTTTGCATCAAAATATAACATAGGATCATCCAGAAGATTATTTATAAGTATCCACATATATTCAAGAAAGACCAAAGCTACATAAAGTTTCATAACATCAAGCATTTCTTCATATATTGATCACCTTCTTACCTTTTCTTTTTAATGCTGTAGGCCCTGGGGTTCGTTAAACATGAGAAGGGTAAGATTTGTAGGAATCTTAATAACATAGCATCATATTTACAATGTCACACTCGAGCAAAGTATTTCATGCCACATGCACTAATTATCACATGCTTTCAACTTCATTCACATGCCATGGGAAGAAAATAATATGCTTGTCATTCATAGCACTCGATATTGCATAAGCCAAGGTATTACAAGCATGGAGCTATACATCATATAACATCATAATCTCATCCACATCACGGCATAGCAACATAACATAACACATAGGTAAATGCTAGCTACATCTTTTAAGTTTATCCATTGCTTTCAATCTCCTCATCTTAGCAAATCTCCTTCTCTTTTGATGCCAAACCTATCGGTAACACAATGGGGCATCATACATTATTATTCCATTCATCATAATAACCCTCAATCTCTTTTTACTTGATTTTTGGGTTATTATTTCTAATTTTGATTCCTTAATTTTATTGGGCTATTCTTACATAATTTTTTATATAGAATTCAAATATCAACTTAAATTCATGAAAATCTAATTCCTCCCTGTTGGAACCTATTTGGCCAAAACATGGGGGAATTATTTTCAAAATTTTTCCTTTCAATTTTAATACTTCCAAGTTTCATTTCTTGATGTTTTCCTACACCATTTTATCATTTAAACATATTAGAAGTATCAAATTGAATTGAATCCAACTCTAACCCCTTACTACTCATCTTGGCCGAAAAATGCACAAGTTTAGGAGTTGGATTTTCTTTATAAAACTCAAGCATAACCAATCAATTCCTACTTTTTTCAAGTGTTTAATCCATGTCTCAACCTTTTAGCTATTTTCCTTCCTCTTTTTTTTTTTTGAAAATTTGGCAGCATTTTTCCTAAAAAAAATGGCCACCAAATCAATAATAAATCACTATAAAAACAGTCTTATATAAAAACACAAGAGGCATAGAAGCTTACTTTGATGATTCCTTGAGCATGAGTGGTCTTTCTCTCTTTAGAGTTTACTTTTCTCTCTCTTGAATTTCAAGAACAAAAAGGTCTCCTCAAGGTCCCTCTCTTGGCTGAAAAATTTGAGTGTAGGAGGGGGTATTTATAGCAATTTGATTAACTCTTTGCCTTTAAATTTCAACAAAATTACAAAAGGTACGTAGACAAATCTTAGCCCTCCATTTTTCTTCCAAAAATAATGAAAAATAAAATAAAAATAATGTGCAAATCTTATGCCTTAAGAATATGATTTTGCCACTTGTCCACATGATGTCATAGTGATGATGTCACATGCTTATGTCATACCAAAATTAATTAACTTCCTTAATCACTATGATTAATTCCCCTTAATCACCTTGTAGAAAACCTATTTTATTTTTATTTTTAATTAAATATTTTTTCTTCTAAACGGGTCAAAAATGGCGTGATATATGGGCCATTTGGGTTGAAAAATTTTGCTGAAAAATACACTTTCTCAGGTATCTTGACATTGCACTAAGTACCAATGCAGTGTCAAATAAATTTTTCCCGTATCCTGTCTAATCCACTATCTTAGAAAATTCATCTCAATGCATCATTAACTTCTTCTCAGTGCAAGGAAGTTTCATGATTTTTCTTAGAATTTAATTCACTCTATAATCCTCTAAATTCTATTTCTGGCAAAATCGGCATTCTACTAGTGATAATTTCACTTTAAATATTATTAAAACTAGCCTTCTCATCATTTGAAGTCAGGAACAATTTTATAAATTATGATGATCCTCTAAGAAAAATTTTCATATTTCTTTCCAGAATTATTGAGACATATAGATATTTTAAATAATTAATTTTGATTACTATTACTTAGTGCAACCAAATATTCTGAAAATACAGAAAATTCTATATTAATTTATTTTCCTTTCAATAATTCCTTTGAGGCCTAAAACACTATTTCTTGATCCTTAATTCTATTTTACATGATTTTTTTGAGAATTTTTAAAAATTTCTAACCTGACTTCCTAATCAAATATTTCTTCAATTCATATTTCAAAAATATCAATCCGGCCATTATCCAGTTTTAGTTCAAAACTTATGAGAACTATGTCCTCTCTACACTAACTGACCTTTGGTCTATTTCATTTTTCTTATCTTTTGGGTTAAAATTTCCAGAATGTTATGAGTTTTAATTTAAGCTTTAATTTGAAGAAAATAACACAATAAACCCTGTCAAAATATTTGTATCTCTAGACGCCAGCATGACAGAAATAGCAACAAAATCTGGTTCAACATTTAACAAACTTCCAAGTTCCAACCAAAATTTTGATGTGTGTATGGGCATTTTTTCTCCTAGGTCATGATGTTTTTTAGTCATCCACTATATTTAATGGTGCTAAGTCTTCCTCAGCAAAATTAACACTGTTTATGGCTTATAATTTTTAAGTATTCTTTAAATTAAAAAAACTAACATTTCAAATGAGCATATACAAAAGAATTGGAACTATGAAAATAAACCACATGAACTACAAAACAAACACCATTAAAGTATAAATACAACGGTATTTTCCCAATTATTTATATAAATTGGGAACTCATTATCTGTAAAAAATTCAACATGTGACTAGTATCCCTGAAGTGTAAAAGGAGAAACTAAGAAAAGAGACCGACTGTTCTCGGCCAGAGAGAAAAAGGGACCGACGGTTGACAAACGAATACCGATGGAAAATAGAACAATAGAATGATTCAAACTGGGAGACGACGTTGCCTGGTGAAATGAACGGCAAACTGACACGTTAGCGAGAAGGCAGGGAGATAGGGAAGAAACGGGAACATGGCACTTCGTCTGGGTCCAAGTTTCAGCCATCCTCTGATTGCTTCCAGCGTTTCCGTCAGAACCACTCGCCAAATCCGCAGGTGTTCGATTCGGAGCTGTATCCTGGAACCCAACGAGTCACGCAAGGTTCTTCCCTCATTTTCCTTTAACCGAAACTATGTTCGGTGGCTCAGAAATCCGGAGAAACTTATTTTCAGTTAGAATTTCCTTTTCTTTCTCCACCTCTCGACTTCCCTCAGTTCTGAGTAATGTGTGTTTTAATCTTGCAACCGAGAGGTTTGGTGTGTTCTTTGTAGGTAGGCGGTGCATGAACCTGTTTATAATCTCGAGCCATGTTTAAATTTCAGTCTGAACGATTAGAATTGAATTAAAGATGATGAACATTAGGCTTGAATAAAACATTTGTACAGTTATTAAACCGTTTGCTGACTGACTTATTCAGCTACTTCAGCATCAATGTCTTTTCAAATTATGCAGCTAGTGCTGGAAGTGAAGGAGAAGCTTGAGAAAGAATACCCCAGCCTCCCTGTAGGTAGCAATGGAAGAGATGACGAGGATATGATACTATGGTTTCTGAAAGATCGCAGGTTTTCTGTTGACGAAGCTGTTTCAAAGTTGACTAAAGCCATTGTATCCTTCACATAAGTAAATGGTTGTAAGATTATGCACAATACTAAGTCTGATGATTCGTTGATTGAGTAGATCTCGCTGCCCATTCAAGTGCCTGGGTGAAAAGTAAAAAATTGCATGCTCAAAAGTTAACAAGCCTAGAAGTATCTCCCTCAAATGTGCGCACAAGTTGCCGGCGACAACATCCTATATATGTTTTAGTTTAGCATTAGTTTATCGAATTCGTTTCATGCTCACGAAATTTACATGTCTTCCGGTTTTCCTTCTACTCTGTAAGAAATGGCGTCATGAATTCGGTGTATCTGAATTGTCTGAAGAAGCTGTTAAAGCCGTAGCTCAAACTGGAAAAGCATGTGTGCATGACTTTCCTGACGTCGATGGCAGACCTGTGCTTTTGGTGGTGGGATCAAAGCATATTCCCTTAGTAAGTCTGGAAGTTGAAGTAATTATAGTCAATTCTTGCAACTGAAATTCTCAATGCTTTATGAAAAGTATCACACTTCATAAGGCAATTTTCATAATTGATGGTTTCTCAATTATAAATGATAATTTGCGTGAGCTATTGTTGCCCGAATAATTGAATTTGCTGTTGCTATTTTCTGCACTGTGTATATGTTAGTAGCATAAGGAAGGTATTTGTCTATATATTTCAACTGGGAAAATTGTTTGTAATGAGAAAAATAAATAATTATATCACAGGAATTTGACCCTTTAGATGATATTATGTCACAGGAATTTGACCCTTCAGATGATAAGAAGCTGTGTGTCTTCTTACTTGAGGAGGCATTGAGTAGGCTTCCGACTGGTAATGAACAGATACTTGCAATAGTTGACCTCAGGGGTTTCAGAACAGAAAATGCAGATCTGAAATTCTTGACCTTCTTGGTAAGATTTTCTGATCATCTGCTGAAGATGTTGCTGAAGAGCAGCCTGTATTGTCATCATTCAATATATGCCTGTGATCTATGTGCTGGCGCTTCTAAGTCCATTGAAAGCATTGTGGTTGGCTTCATTTGATGTGCAACAGTATAAGTCATTTCATATGCATAGTATGCCTAAGAGATGCTTTTGCTTATCAAACTGCTGTCAATATTGAGTTTTTAAATTGAAATGGTGATGATAATTATTTCTCATTTATGGAATTAGTCACTGTTATGCTTTTCTGACAAAAGATACTTAAGCTTCCTTGACTGTTTATTAGTTATCAATTTATTATTTCGAGCTCTTTTCATTGCTACTTTTTCCTCTTATAGCTCATAGTAGAATTAAAGATAAATTGCTCTTTGATAAATTGACAACTTTAGTTGCTAGAAACAAATTTTAACAAGAGAATCACAGACTAAATTTTTGCTTCTTCTGGCAGTTTGATGCATTTTACTACTACTATCCCAGGCGAGTGGCCCAAGTACTGTTTGTGGATGCTCCTCTCATTTTTAAGCCAATTTGGCAAATGGCCAAGCCCTTGTTAAAATCATATGCTTCTTTGGTAAGTAGTACCGATGGTCCGTGTGTATTTATGGATATGCACTAGAAAAGATATTTTTCCTCTTATACCGAAGCTCAACTCATGGATCCACTATAAACTTTCTTACCTTCCATGCCCAAATTCCTTTCTACTTTGTTATTAATTATCTCAACTTTTTATGGCAAATGTTCTCAAAATATGGCTGGCTAGGTTGGGACCGGGGGTAGCTTGCTAAATAAAAGTTAATGGTAATTGCTGCGTGTGGTGTTGGCCTAGTGATGGTAGCCAGCTGCGCCTTTAATGGTTAGCCATTAGAGCTGAACTTTTGGAGTATCCCTATCAGTCGTAGGTGGTCCAATTTTTAACTGCAATTGATTTAGATCACTTATTGTGTTTCGCCAACCAAATGGCTCTGTAGCCAACATTCTCTCTTCTTTGCAACCTGTTTAGTCGCGTCCTCCATCTACACGGCGAATTGAAATGGGCCAATGGGGTAATTGGGATGATGGGTTTGGGTATGTATCTTAAATCATGGATTATCAATAATTTAGTATACCATAGTTATTCATTTGGGTTGCCTATCTAAACTATACTACTTCTGGTATTTAATATAAGACCTTGTTTGACGTTTATTTTGGTTCTAAATATATGATTCCAATCCACTTTGTCTCTCATATTTATACATTTTTTCTCAAGATAGTCCTTCTAATAATGGTAATTCTAGCAAACACTTGATTAGCAAGGATATTTTAGGAAAAATAATATCTATTTATCACAAATAACAAATTTAACTTATTTTCTTCATCTCCTGAAATTAGTCAACTAGCTTTTATATTTAGGACTGGAGGTAGTATTGTCCAAGTGCATTTCAAACCCTTCTTTTCCCCTTTCCCTGTGTGTTTGCCCTGCATCACCTTTGCATCTTGATTGACTTGATCAGAGGAATATTATACATGTTCCTTGTGTAATACGAGCATTCAAAGTAAGATCCATGGCTCACATTTTGATCGATTTCCATGTTTTCTTGCATTATATATTAAGAGCTGCCTGCGGCAAAATTAAACATATCTTCATTTTCTTTTGCAGGTGAAATTTTGCTCTGCAGAGACTGTCAGGAAGGAATATTTTACACCAGAAACACTCCCTGCCAGCTTTAGAGATTGAGAAGGCTTTTCATGAAGCGAAATTCTTGTTTGGAAGATACACAAAGTTGCAGCAAACTGTACGAACTTTATAGCAGATGACAAGACATTGATAGATTCATCACTGTTAAGAGCCACGGTAGATTCTGTGAGGAATCTGAGACGAACCATTCTAATGATTGGCGTTCATTTGTCTTGTTTCTTCTTATGCATGATATGTAGGAATCTATTGGAAATTGTTCCGAATAACTACCTTAGAAGTTCAGATCATCCATATTTATTCCTGCTACACCAAGAGCAAAAATTATAACTCATACATGAGGGGTCAAGTGAAATGATTTATAAACATTTTTTTAATCGTGATTTTCAGAATTTAAAATGAGTGCTTACAAACATGATTTCGAATGATGATTCTCCCGTGCGACTGGTGTGCAGAACTATTCACTTGCATAATTTTATTTTTCCTCGTACAAGACACATTGGTTGAATGGATGAGTTTAGAACCAGTTCATAATCCGCATTGTATTGGCTTCTTTTATACGCAGTAATATTGCCATCTTCCGAAATGAAAGCAGATGACATGATCTTCATTGATATGCCACTTGGTTTTTTTGGTGTGCTTGGCTGAGAAGATAAAATGGAGAGAGAGAGAGAGAAATGAAAGGGAGTGATTTTTTTTTTCCCCAGCTGGACAATTATTATAACCTTGTTTCTCATAATCTTGCTATGTGTAATAACCCTGTCAGTTTTTTTGCCAGCGTAATAACCTTGTTATTTACGAAATTTATCAATGTTTTTTATTATGAAAAATAGATTTGTTAGTCCTTATAGTTTCATTAAATTTTGAATTAGGTCTTTTTAGTTTTATTTCATTTTATTGAATCCTTATATTTTGTTCTGTTAAAACCATAGGTCTTTTCGTTAACAGATTCTCAAAACACCATTAGTTGCTCTTTCTCTTCTACCCCTCTCATTAAAAGCTTTTTTTTTTTTTTTTGTTTTGTTACCACCTCTGCACACTATTTTAGAGAAGCTTTTTTCCTTAATGACGTCGGAGGAGTTTGGTGACGGCTTCTTTCAAACTTTTGTTTTGAGACCCTTGCATTATTCAATGAAAGAGCGTTGATTTTTTAGTTTCAAATGGTCATGACCTTCGGTAATACTACCTCCAGTCTTAATTATAAGAGCTAGTTGACTAATTTGAGGAGATTAAAGAAAGAAGTCAAGTTAGTTATTTTTGTAATAAATATGTGTTGTCTTTCCTAAAATATCCTTGCTAATCAAGTATATTGGTTAGAGCTACCATTGTTATAATGACTACCTTGAAAAAAATACATAAATATAAAAGATAATATAGATTGTGGTATTATATTTATGATCAAAATAAAAATCAAACAAGGTCTTATATTAAAAATCAAAAATAATATTAATTTATGATTTCAGATTGATTGACGTCAAAAAGGTAATAATAGTTATTAGAATTTTAAGGATGAGACTTTTTGGAGCGGCCATGGAAGGTCAAAGAAGGGGACAAGGGGTGTCTTCGCTTCTCTTTCTTTTTATTTTCGTCCACTCCTCATTTGAGCTATAAGATTGAGATTTAACGGTTCATATTTCAAATTTATAAAATTATGAATAAAATGTTAAATTTTCAAAAATAAATAATAAATCAAATAAAACTACTAATTTTAGCCAGTATAATTCAAAACATAATAAAAAATACTTTATAAAATTATTTAAAAAAATATGAAACCTAAACTCAATGTTTTAAAAGCCGACCGGAAAGATCAACGGGTCATGGTTCAATCGGTCGGATCGGTCGGACCGTTCGATCAGACCGGTGACGCAATAATTAATTTAAAAAAATATTATATACATATAATTAGTATATATGAAAAATATCAAATTATTAAATAATTTAGAAATGCATTTAATAATCTAAAATTATAATAAAATCATTGAAAATGGACTAAAACCTTATATATTTAATTTTATGTATGTTTAAAATATTTAATGATATTACAAATTATCAATTCATTCAAATCAAAATTTTTTTTAAAAGATAGATCAAATATCGAAACAAAAGACTAGCGACTCACGATTTTAACACCACAATATATGAAATTTTCAATGAAATAATACTATATGGTTATAACTAGTCTAGAAATATATTAGGATATTTAAGGGGATCAATTTTTTTATTTTTCTTCTATTTTTTGAAAAATTTTTAGTATTTTTCAGTCAGGCTAAAAAACCGTCCGGTTTTCTGAAAACCGTTCCGGTTCCCGGTCCAACTCCGGTTTCCGGCTTAATAACGGCTCAACTCCGGTCCAATCCGGCTCAACTATGTGAACGGTTTTTTGGTCCAAACCGAGCCGTTAACGAGTCCGGGTGACGGTTCAACCGGTCCGACCGTCCGGTCCGGTCCGGTCCGGTTCTTTAATCATTGCCTAAACTGTTAAACTTTCAATCTTAGTGGTTGAGATAGAAAATAGATGGAAATGGAGAGGAAGAGAAATGGAGAGACTCTTTATCCTAAAAAAAAGGGCAATTATATGGTGAAGTAGAGGTTAAGGATGATAACCACCCAGTCCGCAACGGCCAAAGGCCCCACCCCTTCCATGTACCTCATTCCTCCAAGACCCTGCTTTCACGAGTTAAAGAAGGAGCTCTTCTCCTTCTCGGCATCATCATCAAACTGGTCATATCTAATGAGAGAAAGTCACCGGCTTTTAGGGAGGGAGAGCAACTAATGGTGTTTTGAAAATTAATTAACGGAATGGCCTATGATTTTAACGGAATAAAATATAAGGATTCAATAAAAAAATAAAACTAAAGGAACTTAATTCAAAATGTAATGAAATTATAAGGATTGACAAATATATTTTTCCTTTTTATTAAAATATTAATAACATATCTTCTAATCTCTTCATAATTTAATTCTTTTATTCTTTTGTTTTACTTAGGATTTATGGAAAAACCTTACATGATAAAAAGTAATGAAATTATGAAAATATAATTTTATTGCAAAATTAAAGCATAACAATTTAAAAGTAAATCTCTTTTTATAACAATCCTTAATCTGCACAAGAACACGAGTTATTTTTCAATCCAAAACTTGAAAAATTGGCAAAATAAGACCTACACATTTTCCCAATTTCAGCCTTCTTATTACAATCTCTTTTTTGGATTCGAATTAATTAAAGAAAAAAGAAAGAAAAATCAGTGACAAATATCATCGCAATCACTGCTTTAACGCCGTCTCGCACTATCAATGAATTTGAAGGCCTACGTGGATAGCCTTCAATAAACGACACAAGTTTTGATGAGACCAATGGCATATTCCGATACTGAAATGCAGTACAATTGCATTTCAAGTTTCATTTTCAACGCAGGGGACGATTCTTCAGGGCTCAGCCACGATGAGGAAGGAAGCGATCGCGTGTGTGTATGTGGCGGTCAACGTCATGTCTTTGGTTTTCGTTTGTGGTGCGATCGAATCTCCACAGTACGCAGTGGTTCACCTGGAGTCCGATTTCGAGATCAGGCTCTACAGAGACTCCGTCTGGATTTCTGCTCCCACCCAGGACATTTCCTTCGAGAAGGCCACCTGGAATGGCTTCCACCGGTAATTATTGTCTAAACCAATTATATTTCACTTCGATTGTGCATATTTCCGGTGTTTAGTTGGTGATGAACCTTTCCCCCAGGTTTTTTAAACTTGTCTTGTACTATTGTGTAGTTCTTTTATATGATTTCCGGAAAGTGTTGGAAATCTCTTGAATCTTGTTCGGTTTGATCAGCACACCCACTTTTCAATGTGCCAATATCGTGGAGTGGATTTTTTTTTTTTTTGCTGGTAAATATTCACAAATTACGTACATTCAATCATGAATACTCTATTTCGGTCCCAAAAAAAAAAATCATGAATACTCTATGGGCCTATTATAAACACGACTCTGTTTTTAACCCCTATCGAAGTATGTGCGGAACAGCTACTGAGCTCTCAGATGATCTATGCAGATTCAGACGTTTTGAAGTGAGATTATTCTGTGTCCACCTAATTGGATTAGACGAGATAGATCCTCTGCTGTCCAGCAGAGATGTCACAAGTTAAGGAAAAGCGCGAAATAGGATGGTCTTCTTGTGTGGACTTACAGCATTCATTGCTGCAGAAGATGTGGACGTGTTGATTTCACCATGGACAGTCGGAAAATATAGATCGCCATAATTTTTCCCCTCAGCATTCCAACTTCAATACTAGTTAAAATGAGAGTGAATATAGTAAGTGAGGTGGTGGGAATTTTTATGTGTAGGTAAAGTTTGTGCTTGGAACAAATTAAAAAAAAAAAAAAAGGTTTAGAGTTGGATGACTCGTTTTTACTCTGCCCTCATCGAGAGTGATCTTTCTACTTCCGATTTCCCCCCATTATTTTTCACCTTCCCTTCATCTTTCTTAATATCACACCAGTTACCAGGAAAAAGGAAATCAAATGCCAGTAGATTTTCCATTTCCACCCTCTGAAACGGGAATTCGAGTCAAAACTAAAACGTTTTCATATTCTAACTGGTCTCAATCTAGCATAGCTTCATGCCTCACACAACATACATGTAAGACCTGCTCAATTTGTAACCAGTTTGCCCTGGAAACTTCTCTTTAAACGTTGTATTTTTCCTTATCGACATTCATTTGGAGAGTTAATTGTCCCTCTCTCAAGCTCGAATGAAACATAGTTTCATCCTCTCAGGAGTCATTTTTGGATGTTGCAGGTTGTTCCAGTACACGCAAGGTGCTAACCTCAACTTCTCTCGAATTGCAATGACTGCTCCTGTGCTGACGAGCATAGTCCCTGGAGCCGGTCCCCTTCACTCATCAGCCTACTTTGTTCGTTTTTACTTGCCTGTAAAGTTTCAAGCTAATCCACCCCTTCCACTTCCCGAACTGCATATCAAGCCCCATAAATGGGTCAGCCACTGTGTGGCTGTCAGAAAGTTCTCTGGATATGCAAGGGATGACAACATTGTAAAAGAGGCAGAAAAGCTGGCCATCAGCTTGAGCAGATCTCCATGGGCAAATGCTACTTCTTCCAAGAGTCAACAGGCTTACTCAATTGCCCAGTACAATTCTCCCTTGCGGATTTTTGGGCGTACAAATGAGGTTTGGGTGGATGTTGATGCGCCTAAATTAGCTGCTTTTGAATCGGTTGGCGTCGCTGCATATTGAACTATGGCATAAATCTCAGCTCCGTTTGCATGCCAGATCAGGTTTATCTGAATGCCAATTTGTTCTGTATACCTGTATATATTAATGTAATGGCTATCAAACCTATAATATACCGGCCTATATGTGTAAAGTACTATAAATGGATCGATAGCCTAAGTTCTGCTTTTTGGTTCCCTTCACTGAATGTAAATGAAATTATGAGAAACTTCATTCAGCCAGGAAAAAGGTAAGAATGATTTTAGCCCAAAGCTTCTAGTCGGGAGGCTACGTCGTGCAATTAGAGGCCAAAAGCAGAGCTGAGGCACTGAGACAACACTTGCGTTCTGTTCAGAGGTAATACTCAAAGTAAGTGCTAGTATAGTATATACAGTACTGTGTCTTGAACCATGAACATTGTCCGGGTAAAAAAGAAAAAAAGAAAAGGAACCATGGGCATTGTCCAAATACTGAATGAAAGAACATGATAATCAAATCTGCACTCTGCTGAGTGCAGAACATCAAAATGACATTGTTTGCGTATTTTATTTCACAAGTCTAAGAAGATTTATATTGAGAAAGTTCAAATTCTAATCATACAATGGAATTACTATACTCATCACTGAGTTAGCTTAAAGTGATAAAAGAAATTAGTGCCAGAGAGTTATCCCGGAAATATCCATCACACATTTCACCTGTTTAAATGAAACACAACGAGTACGTGTTGCCTTTCAAGAGTATATGCTACTTTCGGTCTTGGTCTTTAATATAAGACCCTGTTTGACTTTTATTTTGGTCCTAAATATAAGATCCCAATTTACTTTATCTTTTATATTTATACATTTTTTTTGAAAGTAGCCTTTTAAATAATGATAGTTCTAGTCAATACACTTGATTAGTAAGGATATTTTAAGAAAGACAACACCTATTTAGGATAAATAACTAACTCAACTTACTTTTTTAATCTCCTCAAATTAATTAACTGGCTCTTATAATTAGGATAGGAGATAATATTACCCATCACATTGGATTGATTTTTTTTTTTTATCTCATTTCAAATATCCAGATTTTGGATTGTCCGCTTCCTTTGCCTCCATCTCGCTACAATTATCCAAGACATATTTGTGCTTAAAAGATTATGAAATAATTAAGTTTGAAGTAAGACTTTCACAAATTTTTTTCATTTTACAATATGATAAAAATTTTTAAAAGAAAGTATTTGGATTTGTTTTTTTAGCCATCGTATCTATTTTTTTAATTGAAAAATCATATTATTAACAGCTTATGAAACATTACAAAACAGACTAAACAGAACACACAAACACCAAAACGACACCATGTCTATTTAAAAGATTACTGAATAATGTTTAAGAGGAATATTTTGAAATAAAAGAGTTATACTTAGGTAACTTAACATCTAATTAATCAACAAAGGAATGTAAACGGAATGTTAAATAAATTACCTCCATAACTTAATATAAAAACTAGTTAATTAATTTAAGTGGATTAAGAAAATTAGTTATGTTAGTTATTTGTAATAAATAGATGTTGTTTTTCTTAAAATATCTCTACTAATCAAATGGATTGGCTAAAACTATTATAATTTTAAGGACTACTTTGAAAAAAAATTAGACAAATATAAGAGACAAAGTGGATTAGGGTATTATATTTATGACAAAAATAAAAGTTAAACAAACTCTTATACTATCTCTGGTTCTAAATATAAAAACTAGTTGATTAATTTAAGTATATTAATAAAATAAGTTAAATTAGTTATTTATAATAAATAAATGTTATCTTTCCTAAAATATCCCTACTAATTAAGTTTATTGTTTAGAACTATTATTATTAGAATGACTATCTTAAAATAATAAATAAATATATAAACAAAATAAATTGAAATTTTATATTTAAAATCAAAATATAAATAAAATAAAATCTTATACTCCTCCGGTCCTAATTATAAGACCCAATTGACTTATTTGAGGAGATTAAGGAAGTAAGTTAAGCTGGTTATTTATAATAAATAAGTGTTGTTATTCCTAAAATATCCTTGCTAATTAAGTATATTGTCTAAAACTATCATTATTAGAAGAATTATCTTGGAAAAAAATACATAAATATAAGAGAAAAAATAGATTGGGTCTTATAATTAGAACCAAATAAAAAATCAAATTGGGTCTTATAATAAGAATAGGATGAGTATTAAATACTTCATGTAGTAACAATTAACAAAGACGTGTGTATGAGAAACTGTGCAAAATTGTTTTTTATTCCTTCGCCGCATCTCATTTCTCCTCTCTCAACGTCAACGGCTTCCATTTGCCTTACTCTCTGTTGTTTCGTACGCCAGTACCATCGACGGTCGAAAACATTTGGAGAAACGAACAGGACCGTTAAAACTTAAAAGCCCTAAATCAACCAATCATGGCTTTCTTCGTATTCATCATATCTCTTTCTTTCTCTATCCCCCGAGGATATGGATAAAAGCATTGTTATTTTCAGACTGCTTCTATGTTGGTGAAAGATTTTCATTCCAGTTGCTCATGAATTCAGCTACGCAGGTCAGTTGCATTCAACTCCTTTTCTTATCTACCCGAGATTTGCTTGTTCCAATGAGCTTCTCAATTTCGTGCGTGCCACAGTTTGGTTAGTCTTAGCTAGTTTTTTTTTTTTTTTGGGGGGGGGGGGGTTAAACATCAATGGGAGAAAATTTCATTGTGGTTGCATTTTTCTGATTGCTTCATATGCCGCCAAACGGAATGGTGAGCTCATCCCACTGGGATTATGGGTGACTTTGCCATTTTAATCTGGCTCCGTGCATCTGTCCAGTGTTAGAGAAGGGTGCTCTTTTTCTCTTAATTTTTCCGATTTCGCTTACTTCTTCTTGTGCTCAATTTTGAACCCCTCTTTAAATGTAACATAACCGAAACATATTCATAATTGGGCTCGTCGATTCCTTCGTGTATCATTGTTTAGCTGAACTTAAAACTCTCCTCGGCATTCTTGGGCATTAAAATTTGAACACTACGAGCTATAACACTAAATACCACGCTTCGCCTTTCTTCCTTGTGTTTGTTGTCACATGAGCTACTTGGATGAGCTTATTCAACTTCCTTCCGCATATTGTTCAAGATGTGTATAGTTTTGCATCTGATTTCTTGATAGTTTACCAATGCCTACCGCTTGAACTTTGTGGTGATTTTTGAATACGTTCTTGCTCGTAGATCATTTGGTGGATAAAGAGTTGAAATGGCTTTAATAGCCCTTCAACCACAGGTACCTATTTACATATTATTTGGCTAGAACTCTGTCACCGCTAGAAGATAACTGTCAGGTTTTAATCCCCCAACTATGACTACTTTCAAATTTTATGCCTCCTATGTATAAAATTGGGTGCGCAGCAAAATTGTTGTCTGAGCACTATGGCACTGAGTGGCTTAACCTTGTAATATGGTGCTAAAAAATCTCTACATGGTTGTTAAGAAATGAAATATTTTAGATAATTTGTTATTGCAATCTGACGTGCTCAAAGTTTAGTTTTAATGCAACACATATTTAGTGAAGCAGGAGACGTTCTGCATAAATGATTAATGACCTTTTGTGGTGGCACGGGTTCCATTACACCAAATTTACCTATCATAACTTCTACTAACCAGAGCCGCCAGCTTAAACCTATCGTTTTTATTTTCTTGTGTACAGGGCTCATGTGTGACATTTTCTTCGAGGCATGCGCCATGGAGCAAAAGTCTAAAGTTGAAGCAGGGTTCAACAAAACACCACAGAATTGGAAGAACTGATTGGAATTACCTACCTAAGCGAAGTATTTTAAGGTGTAGCAATTTGTGTCCAGTTTCCTTGTAGTCATAACTAAAAATGGTCCTATGTTTGGAGTCACCGGTTTCAAGAACTTCAAAATGTTTGGGAGAAGCTAACATATAGAACTACCTTACAATTTCTGAGGTAAACAGAGAACAGTTGACAGTACCAACTCACAGAACAACTCAATGTAATTGAATTAAAATATGACAAAACAATTTACAACAATTGAATATTTCGTGTTATGCAAGAGCAAAATTGTCTAGGGAGGGAAATTTGTGCATGTAAGCTATACTTAAAATTAATTGTTTCATGGGGTGATCATGCGTGGGCTCTTGTTGTTTCAATCATGGTAATGCTGATACTGTATTCACTTTTGCCTTGTTCTAGCTTTCATACTTATTTTTCTCCAACTGTATGTGCCAGTTAATTTTGTAACATATGGAGACATGCATGAAGTGAATGCACATGATCTTTTTTGTCTTCGTCCTTTAAATAATTTTTTGTTTCAGTGTAGGGCCTTCTTACATTTTTGGAGCCAAGATTCAATCTTTCAGAATTTCAGCCTTCAAAGACAGTTCCCAACATTATCAAAAGGGAGGTAGACCTAACGGATTGAAAGTTCCTAAGGCTTATGTTAGACTGGAGGAGGGTGGGGAGACCAAATCAGAATCTCCAAAGGCCCAAAATGTTCCACTTTCTTATGGTTCTGAAGCAAATGACGACCTCGCAAATGAGAATATTCCAACATCAACTGCTATTCATAAACTTTTCAAGAAATGGCTGACAATATTGCGCACACAGCCAGCAAGTGAAGAAGTGAAAGAAATTTTGGGAGAACCATCCCAAGGGGCTTTACCAGAAACTCTTGATGGCTCACAAAGTATTGAAAGAGGTAAGATTTTGAAGGTAGCATGGACCCATTTTCTGGCCCTGGACGAGACGGTAAAGATTCCTTTACTGATATTGTAAGTATGATGGCTTTCTCCTCCTTGCATGTTTGCTGTCTGCCTCTTGGGACATTACTGTTGTTCACTATACTGGGGATCTGGGAAAGAAGGATTTTTTCTTTTGTCTCTGAGGTTTTCTGAGTGTTTTTTGCCACCACTCAGTTAAATACATGACTTTTCTCAAGTGTCAGCTTGGATTTGTTGGTTGAAGCAAAATTCAGGCTATCAAACTTGATTTCGTGGGCAAAAAAAGAAAAAGGACCTTGTGATGGGAAGGAGGGGTAGTGCTTGATTGAACTTTGAACGATTACTCTGTTCCTTGTTATCACAGCATTTTGAATACTATCAAGAAAATGTATTCCACTGGTGAAGTAAGTTTAGGATAGTGTGTTCATGATTGAAAATTTGTGGTGTTACCTGTTAGATATCTGGGGAATTAGGCTCCCCTTCTACCTGGACCCTTTGTAATTGTGGGATTAT